ATCAATTCCTTTGAGAAATTACAATAATGATGAAGCCTGCGCTGGGCGCCATGCAACGTGGTAGACTTCTGCTCATAACGAGGACCATTTCCTTCATAGCGGTTATGGATGTCCACCATGGGACGCCGTTGAATGCTGGGCGATTTTCTCCTGATGAGACGTTTGCAAATAGGGGCAGTAAAGTTGTTTACATATGCATTTGCTTAATAATTCATGAATTGTGATAGAATGCTTTACATTAGAAGGTAATATCTACTGGGTTGCTGTCTGTGACAAACTGACAACAATGCTAACGACACTATTCAGTATTCACGTCACCTGATTTCCTAACTGTTTAACATTTGGTGGACATTTGTAACGCAAACAACACTATAAAGTATATAGCCATTTTTCACACTTGTTTCGCTGTGTGCTGTTTTGTATTACAAGACTGACACACAGTTGCTGGCTTGTAGTGTAGACCAATGTACTATTCTGGGGAAGCAGGCATTGTTAATAAGTCCTTGAAGCAAGAGTCCAGAGAAATAAAAGTTGTTATAAAAATTTATTTAGAATAAAACATACAGTATGTAGCCATATAACATGTAGTGTGGTCAATCTATACTACATACCTCAGGAAAGGAAAGACGCTGTTCTGCCATGGTACACTACATCATCATCATCATCATCATCAGTCCAAGGACATAGTTGGAGGAGGTTATAGCAGTGTTGTTAAAACTAACACGTTTTACAGAATAGCATAGCACAAAACACAACGCATAACTCTTGAGAGAGAGAGACCAGTGCTAGAGGTCTGACAGGGGGAAATCAACAGAGCCAGACACAGTATACTGATGCGGGGCAGCGCAGAAAGGCCACAGACCCATGGGTGGTAAACTAATACGATGTCTTTGTGTTTTGTCTGTTATTTTACTCTGCTGGGTATCTCCCCACCACAGTACACATCTATAAGCAACAAGCTTAGAATGTTTTTCGGTTTATTTTCTGGTTGTGAGTACAGTAAAATGGAAATTAAACAAGTTACAGACCACGCAAATGAAAAGGTGTTTGTCTGAGGTAGCAAGGCAATCATGGCTTTCTTCTGATTTTTTAAAACATATATTTATAAAACTATTCTACACAATGATGGACTGTGGGCCTCTTACAAACTCGACTATTTCTGAACAGCTTTAGGTTCAATTAATTTATAGTTTCCGCCCCTCTCTCCTTTATACAACAATCCAACTTAATTACTACAATGCTAAATCAGTCTGCCACACTTGGAATGACAACTGTATAGGCACAGAAGGGGTTACGTTTACGTCGCAATTGCGGCAGGCATGACAACGCCGACAGAATCGCATCAATAACGCTTTAAAGGGAGGAAAAACATTTTCAAAACAAATGTGATGCTTCGAGGAAAGACACAGAGCCTATTGTCTAAAACGATCATTTGAGGCGATAATCTTTAAATGGGCCACCTTCCCCAAATCGTAGAGAAAAACAATGACCATGTCTCCCGTGATGACGGTAGTAGGGTAGAAGCAGAGAGGAGCAGTGGAATAACAACAATGTAACAGTTTGATTCCCAGTGAAAGCAGAACAAAAACAAAACAAATCCCACAAAAAGCATGTTGTTATACAAAGCCCCCGAATCATTGGCATATTCATACAAATTACTGACAAATGTTTAACCGACTCCAGGTACAATCTACAGTTAATAAAAGGTACATTTTGCATAGTACAAGACGACGATGTGGTAATAGTAGTAAAGTTCTGCGGTCCTGTGTGTCTTTGGGTTTTACGGGGGGTCTCTTGCTAGGGGGTCTAGCTCTCCGTCTGTACTTCGGAAAAGTGAAGCGAGGGAAAGCGTAGAAGCTGTGTGTTTGGGAATGTTTCTGTCTCTCCGAAAACACACACACCTTCCTCTTTGCTGATGGCCCTCACATCACCTGAAACATAGATAAAACACACTCATTATTTATTAGAACATCCACACACACACACACACACACACACACACACACACACACACATTAGCCAGACTAAACAAAGTTGGCAAGACCAAATAGGATCTTCCTATTATCTCTGGGTAATCACTAAGGTAACATATACATTAAGTAGAACAGATACACTCTTCCAAAAGTAGAGAATTTAAATTAGTCTACCCAAAGTTATCTATCTCTATTATAGCCAAGGCACGAGAGTTCAGGGATGCACTGTGTTTTGATGTAAACAACACTAATTTCTCTTCATGAGCAGATATTGAATGGAAAGTATCAGAGGCTCCTAAAATGCAATCAGGGCAAGTTGGCAAACAGACTGGCAGTCCCTCATGCCCGTCACAACCCATTTAGAAAGAGGAGACAGGAGAGATCAGGGACGCAGCTGGGCACTTAGAATTCTGGGAAATGCTTTTTAAAGGGATACTTTGGGATTTTGGCAATGAGGCCCTGTATCTACTTCCCTGCAGTCAGATGAACTTGTGAATACCATTTTTATGTCTCTGTGTCCAGTATGAAGGAAGCTAGAGGTATTTTCGTGAGCCAATGCTAACTAGCGTTGGCGCAATGACTGGAAGTCTATGGGTATCTATGCTAGCAGATACCCATAGACTTCTCTGTGGTCCTCTGTAGCTCAGCTGGTAGAGCACGGCGCTTGTAACGCCAAGGTAGTGGGTTCGATCCCCGGGACCACCCATACACAAAAAATGTATGCACGCATGACTGTAAGTCGCTTTGGATAAAAGCGTCTGCTAAATGGCATATTATATATTATTACTTCCAGTCATTGTGCTAATGCTAGTTAGCATTAGCGCAGGAACCTACCCCTAACTTCCTTCATACTGGACACAGAGACATAAAAATGGTATCCACAAGTTCATCTGACTCTGGGGAAGTAGGGTCTTATTGCCAAAATCCCAAAGTATCCCTTTAATGTAACACTGGGGTATGCTCCTTGGAACAATAGGCTGGCTTCTGAATGGACATCAAAACCTATTCAACCACACTTTTAATAACATCATTATATATGGCATTTATCAGACGCTTTTATCCAAAGCGACTTACAGTCATGCGTGCATACATTTTACATACAGTATGAGTGGTCCCGGGAATCGAACCCACTACCCTGGCGTTACAAGCGCCATGCTCTACCAACTGAGCTACAAAGGACTAACTTAATGGAGTTAGATATGGAAGAAGGGAAGAAAAGAGAGAAGAATAAGTGTTAGAAGTGGTCCTAAGCACATTTCTCCCTGTATTCACTACAGGTGCATATTAAGACAACATAAATACCAAACCTGACCCAAGTTTAATTAAATATATGAAAAAAAGAAGATAGCACTGGCTAACATAACGGACGTCAAGGGAAGAAGAAGAAAAAACTGGAGAGGGAAAAGAAATAGGCCCTTGTGAAGGAGCGTCCAAATACTACTTGTAATAAATAAATGGTTTAACTGGCTTGTAAAGGCAATGGGGAGAGTGGAGATGGACTGAGATGTTTAGAGGCGAGAGAGAAAGAAAGAGAGAGAGAGAAAAGAGAGAGGGTGGGAGCGAGAGAGAGAGTAGACTAAACAGTAATTAGACTAAGGCCCATGAGAAAGAGACGGAGATATCGGGGACGTAGGTCGGGGTGCCTTGTAAGGATCCGACGGCGAGTTGGTAATCTGCCTTTTCCATCAGTCCTATTAGCCAACGTACAATCATTGGATAACAAAATAGACAAACTACGATCATGGATATCCTACTAATGGGACATTAAAAACTTGAATATCTTATGTTTCACTGAGTCGTGGGTGAACAACGACATGGATAACATACAGCTGGCAGGATATACGCTGCATCGGCAAGATAGAACAGCTGCCTCCGGTAAGACAAGGGGTGGCGGTCTATGTATATTTGTAAACAACAGCTGGTGCACGAAATCTAATATTAAGGAAGTCTCTAGGTTTTTCTTGCCTGAGGTAGAGTATCTCATGTTAAGCTGTAGACCACACTATTTACCAAGAGAGTTTTCATATATATTTTTCGTAGCTGGGGCCAAGCTTCCTGCAATCCAGGACCTCTATACCAGGCGGTGTCAGAGGAAGGCCCTAAAAATTATCAAAGACTCCAGCCACCCTAGTGATAGACTGTTCTCTCTGCTACCGCACGGCAAGTGGTACCGGAGCGCCAAGTCTAGGTCCAAAAGGCTTCTTAACAGTTTCTACCTCCAAGCCATAAGACTCCTGAACAGCTAATCAAATGGCTACCCGGCCTATTTGCACCCCCCCCCCCCCCCCCCCTCTTTTACGCTGCTGCTACTCTCTGTTTATTATCTATGCATAGTCACTGTAACTACCTACATGTACATATTACCTCAATTACCTCGCCCACGCACATTGACTCTGTGCCGGTACCCCCTGTATATAGCCTCGCTACTGTTATTTTACTGCTGCTCTTTAATTAGTGGCGCAGCGGTCTAAGGCACTGCATCTCAGTGCTTGAGGCATCACTACAGACCCCCTGGTTCGATTCCAGGCTGTATCACAATCAGCCGTGATTGGGAGTCCCATAGGGCGGCGCACAATTGGCCCAGCGTCGTCCGGGTTTGGCCGGTGTAGGCCGTCATTGTAAATAAGAATTTGTTCTTAACTGACTTGCCTAGTTAAATAAAGGTAAAATAAAAATAAAATAAATAAATACATTTGTTATTTAAATTTTTTCGTTATCTATTTTTTACTTGACACTTATTTTTCTTAAAACTGCATTGTTGGTTAAGGGCTTGTAAGTAAGCATTTCACTGTAAGGTCTACACCTGTTGTATTCGGCGCATGTGACAAATAAAATATGATTTGATTTGAAGAGCAGGTCACTGTCAATAACTTTTGCTGCTACTCTACTGAGTTTCAGAATCCATCTCTGCCTCCATTTGCAACATAGGTGAAGGAGACCCCATTGATCTATTTTATTTTCTGTGTGTGTGTTGTGTGTATGTGCGTGTTTGTTCCACATTGTTTTGTTGCTCTCTCTCCTCATCTACACCCCTTGAAAAGCACCAAACTGCCATTTTCCTTCAGAGAGTGGCTGAATCTCTTACACATTCAGTTCCTTGAACAGTTGGACTGCCTGCCAAGTAGCTAGCAACAGTATACCTTTTTTTTCATTTGCACTCATTTAACCTTCATGAAATGAGCTCCAGGTAATTTACTCTTCTCAGGTCCTGAGTGAAACGGCCAATATGCAGGTGGATGGGAAATATAGCTTACCTGTGGTCTCGAGGAGAGGCTTGAAGCTACAAGAGAAACAGAAACAACTTTGTGAGAAAAAACACAATATTGACTCTTTGCAACCTCCATGCTAGGGTTGCAAAGCTACCGGTAGTACAGGAATCTTCAGTAATTTTGGTTATTAACAGAAAATCTATGGCAATCTACCGTAACTTTGGTAACTTGTACTTGAAAAACATTTAAAACATGTATTCATATATAGGTCTCCATAAAAAAAAATTTATATCGGTCTCCATATTGTCCATGAGTTTCTAGTAGATAGACCTTATCGTTCAAGAGAAAATAGACTAATTAATGAAAAAAGCATTTAATAAAACATTTCATTATTTTCAGTTACATCTGCAACTCGTCCAACTATTGACTTTTTTCACAACTGCCAACAGTTTGATGCCAAAACATTGACAACAAATACATACTGACATAGTAAAATAGTGTGTTAAAAATTTATAAAGGATATTTGATGTTATTTCACTAAGATGATGGTTTATAGTTAGGATAATGTTTTACAGCTTTGTAATTCATTTTTTAAATTTTAAAATCATCTTATTTAATAATTTCATATATTTGACATGTGATAAGGCCACACATAGGGCCAGAGATAATTACAGACACCTGTACAAATCTGAAGTATCCTAAAGTGCCAATAGATGTCTTCAGATAGATGACATAAAATCCTTGAAAGATACCACATTTCTGGTAGTTTACTGGTAAACTTGGAACATTTCTAGTAATATACCCTCCCTTTGCAACCTTACTCCATGCATCAAAACTGATTGGTTGAAGCCTAACTTCAGCTGCACATGGGCCCCTCCTACACACAGTCATAAGCTAAGTATTATCTTTAAGTGTTGTTGAGATGGATGTTCAGATCGTTGAGCCATTATGCCTGCCAGGTGAGCAGTAAACCAGTATTGATATCCCCGCAGCACCCTCTAAATTATAATAGATTTTTAACTAAACTCCAGATAGATTTTCAACTCATTCAAATGCAATTTAAAGTCACTTTGAGGTAATTCACTAATCCAACACTATTTTTCTCATTTTATGATACCCATGGAGCGTATTTCTTCCTCAATTTTACTGGATACCTAGGGCCAGGTCACATGGCCAGAAGAAGCTCTAGGCGCTATGTATAAGTTGACTGTGTGAGAGTGTTTCAAACTTCTCTCCTCACTGCAGTCACTTTGCACATTATCAATATTGCATCTAAACAGAGAAGATGACATAGCTTGCCTTTTATTTTCAGCTCCAAAGACATGACTGTTGAATTAAACAATAAAGACTAGTGGAGAGTAGGGAACCCCACAGGGACAGCAACTGTTTTACTGTGAAGAATATAACCTGCTCCAGCCCAACACCACCACCCACACACACACTAGCTAAGTGCTGAGTGAGAGAAAGAGTGGGAATGGAATAGAGAGGGGAGAGGAGGAGGAGGAGTAGAAGAAAGGTGAGGTAGAGCGGAGGATGATGGAGAGAATGAGAAAACAAGGGGCAGAGGAAGAAGAGGAGAGAGAGGAGAGGAGAAGGAAAGACAGAATGAGAGAAGAGGGACATAGAGTGAGAGATCGAGTGAGGGAAAAAAGTATTTGATCCTCTGCTGATTTTGTACGTTTGCCCACTGACAAAGAAATGATCAGTCTATAATTTTAATGGTAGGTTTATTTGAACAGTGAGAGACAGAATAACAACAAAAAATCCAGAAAAACGCATGTCAAAAATGTTATAAATTGATTTGCATTTTAATGAGGGAAATAAGTATTTGACCCCCTCTCAATCAGAAAGATTTCTGGCTCCCACGAGCTGAGATTAGGAGCACACTCTTAAAGGGAATGCTCCTAATCTCAGTTTGTTACCTGTATAAAAGGCACCTGTCCACAGAAGCAATCAATCAGATTCCAAACTATCCACCATGGCCAAGACCAAAGAGCTCTCCAATGATGTCAGGGACAAGATTGTAGACCTACACAAGGCTGGAATGGGCAACAAGACCATCGGCAAGCAGCTTGGTGAGAAGGTGACAACAGTTGGTGCGATTATTCGCAAATGGAAGAAACACAAAATAACTGTCAATCTCCCTCGGCCTGGGGCTCCATGCAAGATCTCACCTCGTGGAGTTACAATGATCATGAGAACGGTGAGGAATCATCCCAGAACTACACGGGAGGATCTTGTCAATGATCTCAAGGCAGCTGGGACCATAGTCACCAAGAAAACAATTGGTAACACACTACGCCGTGAAGGACTGAAATCCTGCAGCGCCCGCAAGGTCCCCCTGCTCAAGAAAGCACAAATACAGGCCTGTCTGAAGTTTGCCAATGAACATCTGAATGATTCAGAGGAGAACTGGGTGAAAGTGTTGTGGTCATATGAGACCAAAATCTAGCTCTTTGGCATCAACTCAACTCGCCGTGTTTGGAGGAGGAGGAATGCTGCCTATGACCCCAAGAACACCATCCCCACCGTCAAACATGGAGGTGGAAACATTATGCTTTGGGGGTGTTTTTCTGCTAAGGGAACAGGACAACTTCACCGCATCAAAGGGACGATGGACGGCGCCATGTACTGTCAAATCTTGGGTGAGAATCTCCTTCCCTCAGCCAGGGCATTGAAAATGGGTTGTGGATGGGTATTCCAGCATGACAATGACCCAAAACACACGGCCAAGGCAACAAAGGAGTGGCTCAAGAAGAAGCACATTAAGGTCCTGGAGTGGCCTAGCCAGTCTCCAGACCTTAATCCCATAGAAAATCTGTGGAGGGAGCTGAAGGTTCGAGTTGCCAAGCTCGAAACCTTAATGACTTGGAGAAGATCTGCAAAGAGGGATTATTATTATTATTATTAGGGATGGGACAAAATCCCTCCTGAGATGTGTGCAAACCTGGTGGCCAACTACAAGAAACGTCTGACCTCTGTGAATGCCAACAAGGGTTTTGCCACCAAATACTAAGTCATGTTTTGCAGAGGGGTCAAATACTTATTTCCCTCATTAACATGCAAATTAATTTATAACATTTTTGACATGCGTTTTTCTTGATTTTTTTGTTGTTATTCTGTCTCTCACTGTTCAAATAAACCTACCATTAAAATTATAGACTGATCATGTCTTTGTCAGTGGGCAAACGTACAAAATCAGCAGGGGATCAAATACTTTTTTCCCTCACTGTAGTGAGTGAGAGGAGGCGAGGAGAATGGAAGAGGAGAGGGAGGTAAACAGAGGGAAGATGGGAGGAGAGGGAGGAAGAGTTTGAGTTAAAGGAGAGGACTTACGACTGCATGCAGGGAAGGTGTGGTTTATCTGTTCCATGATGTCTGCCAGGTCAGAGCTGCGGTTGTGTGGGTGGTCCAACAGCTCATCTGAAACACACACACATAAACACACCAGTTTAGCACACTGTGTGTGTGGGTGTATGTGTGTGTGTGTGTGTGTGTGTGTTTGTGTGTTGAACCGACCTGTGTGTTCGGTGAGGGCCCCTTGTTCTTGCATGCTGGGGGACGACACTCCGTTCACCCTGGAGTCCATCTCCGGCTGAGAGAGAGAAAGAGAGGATGAACGAGGATCAAGTAAGACAAGAGGTGAAGAGAAGAAGGGAGAGAAACACAAGAAGAAAGACAGAAAGAAAAGTAGAAAATATAGGGGGGAAAGAGGGAGGGACAGAGACAAGGACAAGCATCATTACTAAAACATAGTGCTCACTCTTCATTATTCATAGTGGCATACTTCACTGGTGACGACTTCAAACAAACTATTGCTCTACATATTAATCATCAGTCCCAAACAAGGGAATAGCACACAGTGTGACACGATGGGGCTGAGATTAAATATGTGTCATCACGTTTACTGATATTTACATGTGTCTATAGCCCTCTCCCGAATTTGTCACTGTCACTCCCCATCTGAGTTCAGATTAATCTCTAAGGGTTTGGGAACGTGTTTGTTTAATTTTGTGACTTTCATTCATGAAAAAAGGCACGCACACACACACATACACTCGCGCACGCACACACACGCACGCCTGAGATCTATAGAATAGGGCACCTGATGTCCACTGACATTTACTATCAAGTCTAACATGCCCCTTAGCTTTCCAGAGACAGAATCAATGCAGCCTCCCTGTCTGTACCAACCCACTCTCCTCTCCTTCCTTCATATCTGTACCATCCCTCTCTCCTCTCCTTCCTTCATATCTGTACCATCCCTCTCTCCTCTCCTTCCTTCATATCTGTCCATCCCTCTCTCCTCTCCTTCCTTCATATCTGTCCATCCCTCTCTCCTCTCCTTCCTTCATATCTGTCCATCCCTCTCTCCTCTCCTTCATATCTGTACCATCCCTCTCTCCTCTCCTTCCTCCATATCTGTCCATCCCTCTCTCCTCTCCTTCCTTCATATCTGTCCATCCCTCTCTCCTCTCCTTCCTTCATATCTGTACCATCCCTCTCTCCTCTCCTCTCCTTCATATCTGTACCATCCCTCTCTCCTCTCCTTCATATCTGTACCATCCCTCTCTCCTCTCCTTCCTTCATATCTGTACCATCCCTCTCTCCTCTCCTTCCTCCATGTCTGTACCATCTCTGGCTCCTCTCCTTCCTCCTCTCCTGCCCCCAGCTGTAGTAAAGGTTAATGTGATGGAAATGTCTCCAGAGCATTCTCACAACGTCTTCAGGGCTCACTTAGAATAACACTGACTACACAACAGCTCTCTAATACAAATGACAACAACACAAAATTCATAATTTATCATTGATAACCACCATCATTAAGTTTGCCGACGGCAGTGTGGTGCCAGGACAAAAACCTCTCCCTCAACGTGATCAAGACAAAGGAGATGATCGTGGACTACAGCAAAAGGAGGGCCGAGCACGCCCCCATTCTCATCGACAGGGCTGTAGTGGAGCAGGTTGAGATCTTCAAGTTCCTTGGTCTCCACATCACCAACAAACTATCATGGTCCAAACACTCCAAGACAGTCGTGAAGAGGGCACGACAACGCCTATTCCTCAGGAGACTGAAAAGATATGGCATGGGTCTTCAGATCCTCAAAAACTTATACAGCTGCACCATCCTGACTGGTTGCATCACTGCCTGGTATGGCAACTGCTCGGCCTCCGACCGCAAGGCGCTACAGAGGGTAGTGCGTACGGCCCAGTACATCACTGAGGCCAAGCTTCCTGCCATCCAGGACCTCTATACTAGGCGGTGTCAGGTTTCTAAACAGCTTCTACCCCCAAGCCATAAGGCTACCCGGAGTATTTGCATTGACCTCCCCCCTTTTTTACGCTGCTGCTACTCGCTGTTTATTATCTACGCATAGTCACTTTACCCCTACCTACACTACCGTTCAAAAGTTTGGGGTCAATTAGAAATATCTGTGTTTTACATGAAAACATACATGAAATGAGTTTGAATAGCAAATATAGCAAAATGAATAGGACATGTAGTCATTGACAAGGTTAGAAATAATGATTTGTAATTTAAATAATTGTGTCCTTCAAACTTTGCTTTCGTCAAAGAATCCTCCATTTGCAGCAATTACAGCCTTGCAGACCTTTGGCATTCTAGTTGTCAATTTGTTGAGGTAATCTGAAGAGATTTCACCCCATGCTTCCTGAAGTACCTCCCACAAGTTGGATTAGCTTGGTGTGCACTTCTTACATACCATACGGTCAAGCTGCTCCCACAACAGCTCAAGCTCAATAGGGTTGAGATCCGATGACTGTGCTGGCCACTCCATTATAGACAGAATACCAGCTGACTGCTTCTTCCCTAAATAGTTCTTGCATAGTTTGGAGCTGTGCTTTGGGTCATTGTCCTGTTGTAGGGGGAAATTGGCTCCAATCAAGCGCCGTCCACAGGGTATGGCATGGCGTTGCAAAATGGAGTGATAGCCTTCCTTCTTCAAGATCCCTTTTACCCTGTACAAATCTCCCACTTTACCACCACCAAAGCACCACCAGACCATCACATTGCCTCCACCATGCTTGACAGATGGCATCAAGCACTCCTCCAGCATCTTTTCATTTGGTCTGCATCTCACAAATGCTCTTCTTTGTGAACACCTCAAACTTCGATTTGTCTGTCCATAATACTTTTTTCCAATCTTCCTCTGTCCAGTGTCTGTGTTCTTTTGCCCATCTTAATATTTTCTTTTTATTGGCCAGTCTGAGATATGGCTTTTTCTTTGTAACTCTGCCTAGAAGGTCAGCATCTCGGAGTTGCCTCTTCACTGTTGACGTTGAGACTGGTGTTTTGCGGGTACTATTTAATGAAGCTGCCAGTTGAGGAATTGTGAGGCGTCTGTTTCTCAAATTAGACACTCTAATATATTTATCCTCTTGCTCAGTTGTGCACCGGGACCTCCCACTCCTCTTTCTATTCTGGTTAGAGCCAGTTTGCGCTGTTCTGTGAAGGGAGTAGTACAAAGCGTTGTACGAGATCTTCAGTTTCTTGGCAATTTCTCGCATGGAATAGCCTTCATTTCTCAGAACAAGAATAGACTGACGAGTTTCAGAAGAAAGTTATTCGTTTCTGGCCATTTTAAGCCTGTAATCGAACCCACAATTGCTGATGCTCCAGATACTCAACTAGTCTCAAGAAGGCCAGTTTTATTGCTTATTTAATCAGCACAATAGTTTTCAGCTGTGCTAACATAATTGCAAAAGGGTTTTCTAATGATAAACTTGGATTAGCAAACACAACGTGCCATTGGAACACAGGACTGATGGTTGCTGATAATGGGCCTCTGTACGCCTATGTAGATATTCCATAAAAAAATCAGCCGTTTCCAGCTACAATAGCCATTTACAACATTAACAAGGTCTACACTGTATTTCTGATCAATTTTATGTTATTTTAATGGACAAGAAAATTGCTTTTCTTTCGAAAACAAGGAAATGTCTAAGTGACCCCAAACCTTTGAACGGTAGTGTACATGTACATATTACCTCAATTACCTCGGCTAAACTGTACCCCCGCACATTGACTCGGTACCGGTACCCCCTGTGTATAGCTGCGTTATTGTTATTTTATTGTGTTACTTTTTTAAAACTTTATTTAGTAAATATTTTATTAACTCTTATTTTTCTTAAAACTGCATTGTTGGTTAAGGGCTTATAAGTAAGCATTTCACCTGTTGTATTCGGTGCATGTGGCAAATACAATTTGATTTGATTTGATTGCAATTGATTCGGAGTTAAGAAAAGTCCCTTCAATACAACTACACTAAGTTGTAATATTGTAAAACTGTTGATGTTCTTGTTGTGATAAATATAGACAACACATTTGTTTGGCCATAAACTGACAATGCTGGGCTGAAAATATGAAAATCTATTCTGTGAATGTCAGAGCACGTTTGTAGGATTAGTCATTCTCATTGATCCCTGTAAATTGGATTTGTTTCTCCCATCATGAAGTCAGGATCTGGCTACCTCAGGACTCTGGGCTCTAGAGGAAGTGGTGTGTGTGTGTGTGTGTCTTGCAAAGTTTAAATGAGGCCTTTATCCCCTAAGAATCAGCCGAGTCACGTTATCTTCCCCCAGGCGGAGGTTGCTTAATGCTCTGCCTCTGTTGTAACTAAATGAAGAAATGTAATGTTGACCTGTGAGCTCCCAGAATGTGCCTATATAAATAGTGCACCGAAGTATTTCAGGACCGTGGATTGCTACCGCTAGCCACTGTGGGAGAAAAGAGCTGACTGTTCAGCACCATGGCAGTGGAGAGCGCCACTACAGGCGGGCCACACCCAACAGCACTCATAATGAGCAGATTCCACACACCTGTGTGGCTAACTGAGAAGAATGTTTGGCATGGGCAGGAACAGTTGGATTTTGATTATTGTTCCCATTCCATTTTCCCCAAGTTTTAAAGTTGTAACGAACAGGGAAATAAACCTGGATATGATTTAACTACAAGTACTGCTTTAAGACTCCTGATTATCCACCACAGCTTCCAGCTCCAGAGCCCCGAGTCAATACCTGCCTGCCAGCTGTTTACCAACTCTGACTGACTCCGTTTGGTTGGTTGGCTTTTATTTTCCACACACCTAAAAAGTCATCCAAACTTATTGAGTGATCAGGAGAGGCATAAACAGAGCAGAGATGGATTGGGTTACTGGATAGGGAGCGCTTAGTAGCCCTGGGATGAATACTCACGATACAGGGTTTTTTCTGCATCATAAAGGGGCTTTTATTTTGGTGATTGTTAGTTCTCAAAGATTATAAAAAAATATATTGGTCCATTATCTTTTCTACATACTTTATATCTGGTTTTAGTCGTTTAAGTTTACAATGAAAGCATTTTTCCATAAAAACAAAGTTAGGCGTCCCGAAAAAATGCTTAGGCGGCCCGCCCAAGGATTTTAATGGCACACAAATCCCTGTGATCAGGAATGAGTTATGATAAAAACAAGGCCACTTTCTAGGGCTGAGAAGGAATTGTTGTTGTTGTTGTTGCATGATCAGTGCAATAAAATGAATGCCACAGGTGGAACAAGCATGTTTGTGTGTGTGTTAGCACATCTGTTGCAGTGGCTGGCTGTCCGAGGTGGAGTGTGAGCAGTGGTGGAAAAAGTACCCAATTGTCATACTTGAGTAAAAGTAAAGATACCTTAACAGAAAGTTACTCAAGTAAAAGTGAAAGTCACCCAGTTAAATACTACTTGAGTAAAAGTCTAAATGTAATTGCTAAACTATACTTAAGTATCAAAAGTAAAAGTATGAATCATTTCAAATTCCTTATATAAAGCAAACCAGATGGCACCATTTTTTTGTTTTTAAAATGTATGGATAGCCAGGGGTACACTCCAACACTCAGACATAATTTACAAACGATGCATTTGTGTTTAGTGAGTCTGCCAGATCAGAGGCAGTAGGGATGACCACGTGTTCTCTTGATAAGTGTGTGAATTTGGACCATTTTCCTGTCCTGCTAAGCACTCAACATGTAACAAGTACTTTTGGGTGTCAGGGAAAATGTATGGAGTAAAAAGTACATTATTTTCTTTAGAAATGTAGTGAAGTACGAACGAACTGCAAAAATCTCTGAAGCTGGAGACACTTATCTCCCTCAGTATCTTTAAGCATCAGTTGTCAGAGCAGCTTACCGATCACTGCACCTGAACACAGACCATCTGTAATTAGCCCACCCAACTACCTCATCCCCATATTGTTATTTACATTGTTATTTATTTTGCTCATTTGCACCCCAGTATCTCTATTTGCACATCATCTTCTGCACATCTATCACTCCAGTGTTAATACTAAATTATAATTGTAATTATTTTGCACTATGGCCTATTGTAGGTAACAACACATCTGCCACACTGATCCTCAACACGAGGGCCTCAGGGGTGCGTGCTCAGTCCCCTCCTGTACTCCCTGTTCACCCATGACTGCATGGCCAGGCACGACTCCAACACCATCATTAAGTTTGCCGACGACACAACAGTGGTAGGCCTGATCACCGACAACGATGAGACAGCCTATAGGGAGGAGGTCAGAGACCTGGCCGTGTGGTGCCAGGATAACAACCTCTCCCTCAACGTGACCAAGACAAAGGAGATGATTGTGGACTACAGGAAAAAAAAGAGGACTGAGCACGCCCCCATTCTCATTGACGGGGCTGTAGTGGAACAGGTTGAGAGCTTCAAGTTCCTTGGTGTCCACATCACCAACGAACTATCATGGTCCAAACACACCCAAGACAGTCGTGAAGAGGGCACGACAAAGCCTATTCTCCCTCAGGAGACTGAAAAGATTTGGCATGGGTCCTCAGATCCTCAAAAAGTTATACAGCTGCACCATCGAGAGCATCCTGACTGGTTGCATCACCGCCTGGTATGGCAACTGTTTGGCCTCCGACCGCAAGGCACTACAGAGGGTAGTGCGTACGGCCCAGTACATCACTGGGGCCAAGCTTCCTGCCATCCAGGACCTCTATACCAGGCGGTGTCAGAGGAAGGCCCTCAAAATTGTCAAAGACTCCAGCCACCCTAGTCATAGACTGTTCTCTCTGCTAACGCACGGCAAGCGGTACCGGAGTGCCAAGTCTAGGTCCAAAAGACTTCTCAACAGCTTCTACCCCCAAGCCATAAGACTCCTGAACAGCTAATCATGGCTACCCAGACTATTTGCACTGCCACCCCACCCCATCTTTTTACGCTGCTACTACTCTGTTAATTATTTATGCATAGTCACTTTAACTCTACCCACATGTACATATTACTTCAACTACCTCAACTAGCCGGTGCCCCCGCACATTGACTCTACACCAGTACCCCACTGTATACAGTGGGGAGAACAAGTATTTGATACACTGCCGATTTTGCAGGTTTTCCTACTTACAAAGCATGTAGAGGTCTGTAATTTTTATCATAGGTACACTTCAACTGTGAGAGACGGAATCTAAAACAAAAATCCAGAAAATCACATTGTATGATTTTTTAATAATTAATTTGCATTTTATTGCATGACATAAGTATTTGATCACCTACCAACCAGTAAGAATTCCGGCTCTCACAGACCTGTTAGTTTTTCTTTAAGAAGCATTCCTGTTCTCCACTCATTACCTGTATTAACTGCACCTGTTTGAACTCGTTACCTGTATAAAAGACACCTGTCCACACACTCAATCAAACAGACTCCAACCTCTCCACAATGGCCAAGACCAGAGAGCTGTGTAAGGACATCAGGGATACAATTGTAGACCTGCACAAGGCAGGGATGGGCTACAGGACAATAGGCAAGCAGCTTGGTGAGAAGGCAACAACTGTTGGCGCAATTATTAGAAAATGGAAGAAGTTCAAGATGACGGTCAATCACCCTCGGTCTGGGGCTCCATGCAAGATCTCACCTCGTGGGGCATCAATGATCATGAGGCAGGTGAGGGATCAGCCCAGAACTACACGGCAGGACCTGGTCAATGACCTGAAGAGAGCTGGGACCACAGTCTCAAAGAAAACCATTAGTAACACACTACGCCGTCATGGATTAAAATCCTGCAGAGCACGCAAGGTCCCCCTGCTCAAGCCAGCGCATGTCCAGGCCCGTCTGAAGTTTGCCAATGACCATCTGGATGATCCAGAGGAGGAATGGGAGAAGGTCATGTGGTCTGATGAGACACAAATAGAGCTTTTTGGTCTAAACTCCACTCGCCGTGTTTGGAGGAAGAAGAAGGATGAGTACAACCCCAAGAACACCATTCCAACCGTGAAGCATGGAGGTGGAAACATCATTCTTTGGGGATGCTTTTCTGCAAAGGGGACAGGACGACTGCACCGTATTGAGGGGAGGATGGATGGGGCCATGTATCGCGAGATCTTGGCCAACAACCTCCTTCCCTCAGTAAGAGCATTGAAGATGGGTCGTGGCTGGGTCTTCCAGCATGACAACGACCCGAAACACACAGCCAGGGCAACTAAGGAGTGGCTCCGTAAGAAGCATCTCAAGGTCCTGGAGTAGGCCTAGCCAGTCTCCAGACCTGAACCCAATAGAACATATTTGGAAGGAGCTGAAAGTCCGTATTGCCCAGCGACAGCCCCGAAACCTGAAGGATCTGGAGAAGGTCTGTATGGAGGAGTGGGCCAAAATCTCTGCTGCTGCAGTGTGTGCAAACCTGGTCAAGACCTACAGGAAACGTATGATCTCTGTAATTGCAAACAAAGGTTTCTGTACCAAATATTAAGTTCTGCTTTTCTGATGTATCAAATACTTATGTTATTCAATAAAATGCAAATTAATTACTTAAAAATCATACAATGTGATTTTCTGGATTTTTGTTTTAGATTCCGTCTCTCACAGTTGAAGTGTACCTATGATAAAAATGACAGACCTCTACATGCTTTGTAAGTAGGAAAACATGCAAAATCAGCAGTGTATCAAATACTTGTTCTCCTCACTGTATATAGCCTCCCTACTGTTATTTTATTTTACTTCTGCTCTTTTTTTCTCAACACTTTTTTGTTGTTTTATTCTACTTTTTTATTTAAAATAAATGCACTGTTGGTTAAGGGCTGTAAGTAAGCATTTCACTGTAATGTCTGCACTTGTTGTATTCGGCACATGTGGCCAATAAAATTGTATTTGATTTGATTTATTGCCTTACCTCCATAACTTACTACATTTGCACACACTGTATATAGATTTTCTATTGTGTTATTGACTGTGCGTTTTGTTTATTCCATATGTAACTCTGTGTTGTTGTTGTTTTTACCGCACTGCTTTGCTTTATCTTGGCCAGGTCGCAGTTGTAAATGAGAACTTGTTCTCAACTGGCTTACCTGGTTAAATAAAGGTTAAAAAAAAAAGTAAAAGTAGTCAAAAATATAAATAGTAAAGTAAAGTACAGGTACCCCCAAAAATTACTTAAGTAGTACTTTAAAGTATTTTTACTTAAGTACTTTACACCACTGAGTGTGAGCATGTGTGTGTGTGTATACTGTACGTGTCTCTCTATGTGTTGCCCACCTGGTGCAGTAGCTGTCTGAGCCGGTGGAGCTGGGACTCCAGCTGCTTGTTGTGCTCCTCCAGTTTGTGCATGCGGTCCTCCAGACGGCTCTTGTGCTGGCGCAGCAGTTTGGCCTCAGCCAGCAGGTCAGCCTCGCCAGGACCACCGGGGTGAGAGGACCCCTCAGGGTCCCAATGCCCCACAGACCCAGGCCCCCTCTGGCCCCCGTGCTGCTCCTTCAGCTGTTCATACTCCCTTTTCAGGGTCCTGGGGGAGTCACACAGAGATGGGGTTAGGGAGATGCAGAAGTCAGACACACACACGGCTCACCACACAATCGCTCCGCACATATAATATGATGAACCCAACAGCACTACTAAAATCTTCCTGCCCCCCCCCCTCTCTCTCAGTACAATCCTATGTAAAGCCACTGTACAGAGAGGTCCTGGCCCTGTGTTCATCTCTGTCTGTTTAGAACTGTATAGAGCTGTGGCCTCCAGACTGACTGTGGTACTTTAACTGGCTTATAGCCTGGCTCATAAAGAAGACTGTGAGCAGTGCTAAATCACTCAGATACAGCAACTGCCTCAGACAGAAACACAGCAGCTCCAAGAACAATAGAGTGAGTGCACAGTCACCGTTGTCCTTACACTACCTCTATCCACCAATCAAAGAGGGAGAGGGAGAGAGAGATGAGGGGGGAGGAGCAAGAGCTGAGTGAGACAGCCTGAGGTGAGTGTGTGTGTGTGTGTGTGTGTGCTGAGCATCACTTTTAGTAAGAGGGCGGAACACAGTAGTGCTGACATTTGACAGACTACTCCGTTGACCTATCGCGTACTTCTGCTCGTCCTCCAGGCGCTGGATGATTCGCTCCAGCTCTCCACGCTCCTCCCTCTCCACAGCCTGTAGGATCTGGGCGGGGCTCTGCGGCTGGCTGCAGGGAGATCCCTCCCCCCCAAGGGTCTGGCAGTACTGCAGGATCAGAGCATGCTCATCGTCCCTATGGGGAAATATACACAAATGAGCTAATAACACATGTATTTGTTGTCATTCTACAAGAGCTTCATTATATTAAATACATTGTGCGAGAGCGTGCTCCACCTGGGTCAAAGTTTAAGTTCAAAGAGCTTTGTCAATCTTGATTGTCTTTCCATTACATAGGCTCAGTGACTTTAACTTGAGCTTTGGCTGTTGTAGGACTGTACTGTATGGCTGGGAGCTTTAGATACTCCCTGCAACACAGATGTGTTCATCTCTACCATCAGATAACCACATGACAGAGATAGAAAGGAGAGGGAGAGAGAAGGGAGAGAAAGTGAAGACAGATGGGGAGACAGATGGGGAGAGAGGGGGTGAAGGGTTTGGAGAAAGTGAGACATTTAGGGAGACGGGGGGGAAAGTTAAGCAGATGGGGAGTGAGGGCTGATTACGAGGTCGGCTTAAATGAGACGATGGGGAGAAGGGGGGAGAAAGTGAACGACAGATGGGGGAAGAACAGATGGGAGAAAGTAAAGTGGAAGAAGGGGAAAAGGAAGAAGTGGGAAGAGGGAGAGAAAGTGGGGAAGATGGGAGAAGAGGGGAGAAGTGAGGAGGGGGAGAAAGTGAAGCAGATGGGGAGAGAGGGGGTGAAATGAAGAAGATGGGAGGGGGAGAGAGAGGGGAGAGAAGAAGTGAAGACAGATGGGGGAGAGGGGGATGGAGGAGAAGAGGGGAGTAAAGTGAAGACAGATGGGAGGACTGAGGGGGTTGAAAGCTGGAAGGAAGAGTGGGGGAGGGGGTGGAAAGTGAAGACAGATGGGGAGAGCGAGGGGGGGGTGAAGATGGGGAAGACGAGGGTGAGAGAGGGGGAAAGTGAAGACAGATGGGGAGAGAGGGAGAGAAGAAGATGGGGAGAGAGGGGTGAAAAGGACAGATGGGGAGAGAGGGGGTGAAAGTGAAGACAGATTGGGGAGAGAGGGGGATGAAAGTGAAGACAGATGGGGAGAGGGAGAAGAACGGCAGGGGAAGAGTGGGAGAAAGTGAAGACAGATGGGGAGAGAGGGGGAGGAAAGTGAAGACAGATGGGGAGAGAGGAGAGGAGACAGAGGGGGAGAGAGGACAGTGGGGGAGATGGGGAGAGGGGGGAAGTGAAGACAGATGGGGAGGAGAGGGGGAGAAAGTGGAGACAGATGGGGAGGAGAGGGGGAGTGAAAGTGAGAGACAGATGGGGGGAAGGAAGAAGATGGGGAGAGAGGGGGTGAGAAGTGAAGACAGATGGGGAGAGAGGAGAGGGGAGAAGTGAAGACGATGGGGAGGGAGGGAAAGGGGAGACGATGGGGAGGAGGGGGAAAGTGAAGACAAGATGGGGAGAGAGAGGGGGTGGAAAGTGAAGACAGATGGGGAGAAGGGGGTGAAAGTGAAGACAGATGGGGAGAGAGGGGGTGAAATGAAGAAGCTGGGGGAGAGGGTGAGAAGTGAAGACAGATGGGAGAGAGGGGGAGAAAGTGAAGACAGATGGGGAGAGAGGGGAGAGGTGAAGAAGGTGGAGAGAGGGGTGAGAGGAGAGAGGGTGAGAAGTGAAGACAGATGGGGAGAGAGGGGGATGAAAGTGAAGACAGATGGGGGAGAGGGGGTGAAAGTGAAGACAGATGGGAGAGAGTGGAAGAAAGTGAAGGAAGATGGGGAGAGGGGGTGATGAAAGTGAAGACAGATGGGGAGGAGGGGGGTGAAAGTGAAGACAGATGGGGAGAGAGGGGGTGAGAAGTGAGGAAGATGAGAGAGATGGGGAAGAAAGTGAAGACAGATGGGGAGGAGGGGGAGAAGGGTGAAGAACAGATGGGGAGGAGGGGAGAGGGTGATGTGAAAGTGAAGACAGATGGGGAGAGAGGGGAGAAAGTGAAGAGGGAGAGGGGGGAAAGTGAAGACAGAGGGGGAAAGGAAAGTGAAGACAGATGGGGAGAGGGGGAGGCAGATGGGAGAGAGGGGTGAAAGTGAAGACAGATGGGGAGAGAGGGGGAGAAAGTGAAGACAGATGGGGAGAGAGGGGGAGAAAGTGAAGACAGATGGGGAGAGAGGGGGTGAAAGTGAAGACAGATGGGGAGAGAGGGGGAGAAGTGAAGACAGATGGGGAGAGAGGGGGTGAAAGTGAAGACAGATGGGGAGGGGGGAGAAGATGGGGAGGGGGGGTGAACAGTGAAAAGAGCAGATGGGGAGAGAGGGGAAAGTGAAGACAGATGGGGAGAGAGGGGGGTGAAAGTGAAGACAGATGGGGAGAGAGGGGGGAAATGTGAGAAGAGGGGAGAAAGTGAAGACAGATGGGGAGAGGGGGGTGAAGTGAAGACAGATGGGGAGAGGGAGGAGAAGATGGGGAGAGAGTGAAGTGTAAAGTGAAGACAGATTGGGAAAGAGACGATGGGAGGGGGTGAAAGTGAAGACAGATGGGGAGAGAGGGGGTGAAAGTGAAGACAGATGGTGAGATGAGAGAGGGGGTGAAAGTGAAGAATGGGGAGGGGGGGGAAGAGAAAGTGAAGAGACAGGGGAGAGAGGGGGAGAAAGTGAAGACAGATGGGGAGAGAGGGGGAGAAAGTGAAGACAGATGGGAGAGAGGGGAGAAAGTGAAGACAGATGGGAGAGAGGAGGGGGAGAAGTGAAGACGATGAGATGGGAGAAGACAGAGGGAGAGGGGGGAAAGTGAAGACAGATGGGGAAGAGGGGGAGAAAGTGGAGACAGATGGGGAGAGAGGGGGTGAAAGAGAGAGAGAATGATGGCTCCAAGTTTTTCTGTGTCATATTTGGGTGATCTGCGGTGGCAGGTCTTCCTAAACCACAGCTGTCACCTTTACTCTAACTAACACACACACACACACACACACACACACACACCACAGCCCCAGGGATTATAGGGATTAAACTTTCGCAAACCATCACACACACACGTGCACAGAGGGGTAGGATTACTGAACCCCCTGTCCATTACCACAGGAAGTGCCAACCATCGCCAGAGCCACACTGACAACCAGAGAGACTGTTTCCATTTGGCCAAGCTGAAAGCAGTGGTTTTAACTGGATGCCATGTTGGCTCTCCCTGGATAAATTCGATCCATCCATTCACAATGTGTATTGACAATCCAGTTCTCATTCTGTGGCTTGGCTAGCTAGTTAGCGTTTAAAAAAAAGTATATAGCGTCATTAGCATGGCTAGGCTAAGCTAGGCTACCAAACACCATCTGGCTAACACAGCGCCTACTTCCTGATGTACGGCATCCAGGAGACACATTACAGAACCCAGACACAGCATTTCATAAACGTCCCAAGTATTCAGGTCCTCATTAACATTACATGGATATTCAGAGTGTTCAAGGATATGAATGGATTCCTGGACAAAAAATATTTTGTTTCACAGGCGGATCTATTGTGTTGGCAAGGACGTGGACACCTACTCTTGGAGAAATATGGCTAAAAGCCTCTGATGACGGGATAGAGTATAGAGTGGTGAGGAGGAATAGGAGTTCCGTGGACCCTTCGTGTCCGGAAGTAATTTAGCCATTGGCGCTTTGTAGAGTTACTATTTTCTAAATGTTTCGCGTGTCAATTAACTCGTGAAGTTTCTGGATTACTCATTATATTAATAAAGTCCGATTTAATCAACAAATACGATAGTCAGTTTTAAAAAGGTCAAGGGTACATATCTGGCTGTGTTGGTAAAATCACTACATATCCCATTGAGCCAAGCGGAGAGAGAGAAGTCAGAAACGTCCAGCTAATCTTACGCCAATTAAGTGGCAATGGAAGCAAACTGAAGTGGCAATGATATCCTTCGCCACCGTCGTCTTACGACAGATATCTCGAACCAGTCATTATTAATCTACAAAACAAAAATTTGTTTCCAGCTAATTTCTTAGTTACATGATTGTATTACTAGCATAGGAGTTTTGAGGGTGCAGTATTTCTGAAGTTTGGCAATGAGAACGAAAACTTGAATAGTTCAGCTAGCCAGCTAGCTTACCCAGGGAAAACAAGCTCAGGCCTAGTGTGCATGTTAGCCCAGCTGGGCTAATTCAGGAGACAAATTGTAGTTTTTATGCCCTGATATCAGGAGCTGGCGGCAAAAAGTTTGATTAAACAATTTAGAGTGAAACTAATAAATAAGATTACTTATATTTAAGGAGGGCGAATTGATTTATACAATGCCCGAAATCAGCTGTAACTCTCAATAGTCAAACAAAGCTTAAAACGATGTTTGAGTGAACCTGAATCCAGAAAATGAATGGCGAAGTCGCTTCCAGACCCAGTAGACTCCTCATCCTCACCACTATTGAAATGTTATAAACAAGAGCCAAGAACTGTGACTGAAATACCACAGCCGTACAGGTATTCAGGTTCTCCATGATATTCTATAGATGAAGAGCCTAACTTGTCAGTCAGTGTGATGGCTGTCTGCCTCAAGGCTAAGGGCTGTGATCTTGTGTAGGAATGGAATGCACTATGAAGGTATGAATGTACAATGAAGTTATAAACCTATGAAGTTCAATAGAAATTCAGTTCTTCCTCCCTCTGCACCGTGTGATCGATGCTTCCATTAGTGCTCACTCCACCACACAGAGCTTCACACACACATGCCTGACAAACACCCCTCTCATCTCAAAGACATGTTATCTATCGATCTTCTTTTCGTTATAAAATGAGTGTCATGCCTAAAATCACTGAGACGTAGATAATGACATAAGAGCCAGGCGGAGAGGAGAGGGGAGATAAACATCTAAACATTATACACATTACAGAACGGCCATTTTATTAGGTACACCCATCTAGTACCGGGTCGGACCCCGCTTTGCCTCCAGAACAGCCTGAATTCTTCGGGGCATTCTAGTTGCTGCAGATTGGACGGCGGTACATTAATGCTGCGAACAGCCTGTTCCATCTTATCACAAAGATTAGGTTGAGGTCTGGGGACTGTGCAGGCCACTCAATGAACTCGCTGTCATGTTCCAAGCAATGTTTTTCCACTCCTCAAATTGTCC